GAACAAAACAAATAAACAAACAAACAAAGAGGTGAAACAATACACACAAAGAACACAACAATGCTGAAAAGATGAGACAAAGGCCATTCTTACCACGAATTAAGGACAAAAGAGGTGGCAGGGACCGTTCGCCGCGAGAGATCAAAATCGAATAAAATATGGCGGGGGGAAAAAAAAACGAGGAACGCGAGAGATGACCAGAAAAAAACGGAAAAGAAAAATAAAGAAATAAAAAAAAATAATGACCAGAAAAAAACGAAAAATAAAAAAATAAAAAAAATAATGACCAGAAAAAAACGAAAAAGAAAAAAAAATGACCAGATAATAACGAAAACGAAAAAGAAATCAAAAGAAAAAAACATAGATGACCAGCGAAGAACAGGGACATTATTTTGACCGTAGATGATTGAGAAGAAGGAGGAGAAGGAGAAGGAAATACACTTGCTCTCAATACAAGGGAAAAGAGCGAATGAGCGATTGAAACACAACAAAAGAAAGAGAGAGAGAGAAAAAATAAAAAATAAAAAAGGTTCAATTTTAGCTCGCCGAAAAGATCCTTCCCCGAAATGAATAACAGAACGGAACCTATTCAACCTCCCTCTCCCCTTCCCCTCCTCCTCCTCCCCCCTCCCCCCTCTCCCCTCCCCCTTCCCCTTCCCCTCCTCCTCCTCCCCCTCTCCCCTCTCCCCTTCCCCTTCCCATTCCTCTCCTCCTCCCCTCTCCTCGTATTTTTTTCAACATTCAGCCTAAAATCATCTACCTCCCCCCCCTTCTCCCCCCGCCACCACAAGTGTCAAGCAATCAAATAAAAGCGACGGTGGTTCAGAGGAGGGAAGGGAGAGGAGGAGAGGAGGAGGGGAAGGAGAGAAAGAAGGAAGGAGGGAGGGGAGGAAGAAGGGAAGAGGGGTGGGAGGGGAGGAGGAAGGGGGAGGGACCCCACAAGTACAATTTCCAAATTGAGGTTAGGAAAAAAAGATTTTTTTTTTTTCATTTACCATTTTCCTTTGGGGACACATAAATTCAACATCTGCCAGTGCATCTCTCTCTCTCTCTCTCTCTCTCTCTCTCTCTCTCTCTCTCTCTCTCTCTCTCTCTCTCTCCCTCCTTATCATGAAGTCTCGTCAACATCGTGATCCTAAGACCCGGGATAAGTGGATAACTGATCATTATCATTATTATTAGATTATCATTTTTGCTATCACGACAATCATTAATAACATAATGATCGTGATCATTACCATTATCACTAATATTACCAGTACGATTACTTTTATCATTATTTATATTAATGTTGTTGTCGTTATTATATCATTACTACCATCACCATCACCATCATTATTATCACAAATATTACTATCATAAATTACTAATATCTTTACTACCTTCCCCCTCATCATTACCAACACCATAACCATAACAATCTTTCAATAACACCTTCCCAACAACCACCTTCGCCCATCTACTTAGCCACACTAATCTAGGACTGGGAGCGGGGGGGGTGTGGCGTCACGCGAACCACCCAAGGAACAAGGCAACAGGCCTCGGGCGAAGCGGAGACCGAACCCGCGCCAGTCTAAGCGTGAAGGGGGGGGCGAAGGGGTATTATTTTTCGGGAATAAGAAGCGAGGAAGGAGGAAGGGAGAGGGAGGAGGAGGAGGAAGGGAGAGGGGGGGGAGGAGGAGGAGGAAGGGAGAGGGGGGGAGGAGGAGGAAGGGGGAGGGGGGAAGGAGGAGGAGGAGGAGGAGGTGGAGGAGAGAGAGAGGAAGGAGGAGGTGGAGAGAGAGGAAGGAGGAGGAGGAGAAAGGAAGGAAGGGAGAGGGAGGAGGAAGGGAGAGTGAGGAGGAGAAGGAAGGAAGGGAGAGGGAGGAGGAAGGGAGAGTGAGGAGGAAGGGAGAGGGAGGAAGGAGGAGGAGGAGGAGGAAGGGAGAAGGAGGATAACAGGAGAAGACGTAGAGAAAAAAAAATCGGAAAAGAAAAAGAAAGAAAAGAAACAAGAAACCCCCTACCGATGGGGAAAAACAAAAATCGCGGCGAAAGAGAGACGAGAAAGAGACAATGGGACGAGAGAAAGGAAGACAGAGGAGGGAGGAGGGGGGAGGGAGAATCGAAATGGATTCAGAAGAAGAAACCTGTCTTAGGAGAGTTTTAAGGCGCCTGTGAGAAGGTGCGATGGAAGCCGCTAATGAGGACATATATAGGGAACGGCCGTGAATGGTTTCCAACGAGTTCTAATCATCATTTTTAAAAACAACGAAAAAAAAAAAGGAATTCTCGTTTCATCTTCGAGAGAAAAACATTTTAAAAATATATCCCTTTGTCCCCTTCAATCAGCGCCTATTTTAAACCTAATGATCTATTGCCCAATCAAGCACGTCATTATAATCACTCCTAATCATCATCCCAATCAAGACAACCAATCACAAAGTCAGCACATCGAGCCTTCATATTTCTTATTATTCATAGGCCTATATACTCATACATAACCAGCCCATTCATTCATTAACAATATTCTTATTCTATTTCCTCCCCTTCCCCTTCTCTCCGCGATTATCATCAACACTATTCCCAGCAGAGCAAGAATGGGTTAACTGAAGACTGAATAGAGAAAGGAATAAATAAATAAATAAAATAATAAAATGACAGTACAGCTACTCGGGATAATCTCGATAAATATATGATAAAAAATCCTGTCTCGTAACAATCCCACTCCGACCTTTAATTAAAACAAGTAAATGAATAAATTAATTAAATAAATAAATAAATAATGATAATGAAAAATAATAATGATAATAAAAAATAATAATGATAATAAAAAATAATAATGATAATAAACTAAACTACATAAATAAGTGATTTCCTTCATGATAATAAAAAATAATAATGATAATAAACTAAACTACATAAGTAAGTGATTTCCTTCATGATAATAAAAAAATAATAATGATAATAAACTAAATTACATAAATAAGTGATTTCCTTCATGATAATAAAAAATAATAATGATAATAAACTAAACTACATAAATAAGTGACTCCCTTCAAGATAATAAAAAATAATAATGATAATAAACTAAACTACATAAAATAAGTGATTCCCTTCATGATAATGAAAAAAATAATAATGATAATAAACTAATTTACATAACTAAGTGATTCCCTTCATGATAATAAAAAATAATAATGATAATAAACTAAACTACATAAATAAGGGATTTCCTTTCCTTTCTCTTCGGCATGTCAAGCGTTAAAGACCCAGCTGCTGTAAACGTTTTGGCTTTTAACCCGCGCTGAGAGGCTCCGCGGGAAGCCAGGAAGGGCACAGGAGGCCTCTCTCTCTCTCAGCTTCACAGTACGTTGTGTAATTTCGGCGATTATGTGTATCAGTTCGCGCTAACTACGTGCGTTGCTTAGGAGGAAATACCCACTTCGTCTCAGAATATCCTTGAAATAATTTTTGTTTAGGCCTAGTTCTCATTTCGTAACAGTATGGGAAGATGGATGAGATTGTGATTTTTTTGTATTTTTTTTCCCTATTGGTTTTTTCCCCAGCATTTTTTTGTTTTTGTTTTTGCTTTAATCTTGTTTTCCTACTATCTCCCAGTTTCCCCTCGAATGATAACAGATACGCTTGTCGGTCTTATCTTGTCAACAATCACCCTTACATGTTATCTTGATGGCCCTCCCCAATCTCTGTTTTAATGCGCAAAACACAAACATACACGCAAGCACAAGCACACAGATACAGATACACACACATACACATAGATGCAAACGTACACACACACAACAAACAAGAACATAGTTAACACGTATGCAAACATCCACGCAGATACGTACGCATGCCGACACTCTGTACACAAATATTCAAACACAAACACACACAAATTTCCTCCCAACTACACATAGCAATATATATACACGTGGAGAGTATTGCCTTTTGGTTCAATGTTTACTCCTCCCAAGATACAGGACGCGGATGCAACCTCACGAAAACCCGATAAAAATAATCGAATATTCTGATTATCTTCCCCGAATGCAAATATTCATTATGTTCATAAGATATTTCTTTATTTATCGAGCGCATCTACATATCCATACATACATTGTGCATGTACGATACTTACTGGAAATTACATATAGATATAAGTCTATAAGCAGTATTTCGACTCCTTTATATATACACAGATACATTCATATATACAATTACAAGAACAGATATATACATGGACCCATGTACAATATATACAAATATGTATATATGGATGTATTTGCATATACACAGCAGAAATACAACACATGGTTAACCTGACAGCAAACTACAAACATACAAATTCCAGGACGCTAGTTCCGTATGCAAATAAATTTTCCACATCATGCTGCAATCACACAAGGCCATATGTCTATTCCAAAACATACACGCAAAAATATTCATTATGTTCATAAGATATTTCTTTATTTATCGAGCGCATCTACATATCCATACATACATTGTGCATGTACGATACTTACAGGAAATTACATATAGATATAAGTCTATATGCAGTATTTCGACTCCTTTATATATACATAGATACATTCATATATACAATTACAAGAACAGATATATACATGGACCCATGTACAATATATACAAATATGTATATATGGATGTATTTGCATATACACAGCAGAAATACAACACATGGTTAACCTGACAGCAAACTACAAACATACAAATTCCAGGACGCTAGTTCCGTATGCAAATAAATTTTCCACATCATGCTGCAATCACACAAGGCCATATGTCTATTCCAAAACATACACGCAAAAAAAAAAAAGATATAAAACTCATATCGTCCTCCAGCAAGATGAGAAACGGTCGCTCCAATAAAAATGTCTGACAGGGAGAGTCAAACATTTCAAAAGAGGAATCCAAATCTGACATATTTGACAGAATATCGAGAAAAGACAATATTCCACACGTATTCCAGGTGAGACGCGGGCGGCGGGGCATGTACTCACGAAGCGTTGTGTTGCTGCCATGACGCTGGTCATCCCATGACTGTGGCACCACACTGACCCTCTGGCTCTTGGCACTGTAGAGAGGACAGAAGCCGTGGTGAGGCCGTCGTGTGGAGGGCTGGGCAGCAGGAGGAGGCGGCTGAGGAGGGGCAGGAGGGTGGTACTCCACGCCTCCACCACCACCGCCTCTACCACCAACACCACTACTACCACCGCCACCAACACCACGACCAACACCACACCCACTATACCACACCCACTAACAACACCACACACCGGGGCACTCTAGACCGCACGGACCTGGGCCAGTGCTCACCACCACACCACCACACCGCCGGCACACGCCACCTCTCGGCCACCACGCGTCACAACTGAATGAAACACAACCTCGATCTCTGTCTCTCTCCCGCCTCTCCCCCCTCCCGCCTCCACCTCCCCGCGCGCACGCTCCCCTCCTCCCTGACCCTACCCCCTTTCCCTCCCTTCCTCCCCTCCCCCCTTTGCTTCCCCTCCCCCCGCCCCCCTCTCAGCCTCTCTCCAGTACCACGTCGTCCGCACATTCTAACGGCTCCGCGAACCACGCCATTCGCTCGGCGTGCCTGGACGCACCTCCTTCTCCTTCAGGACGGAGAGACTTTTTAAAAGGCAAGAAGAACCAGAGAAAAGAGAGAAAAATGAGGGAAATGAAATGGAAAACCCGGCGGCAACCAGGTTCTCTCTCTCTCGCTCCCTCTCTCTCTCTCTCTCTCTCTCTCCCTCTCACCTGTTCGCTCCAAAGTTGCCAGGGGTAGGATGAGCGCCGGGAATAAAAGGTGCCAGTGACGCTACCTGGCGCTGATTAATAACATAATGCTGCATAATTGTCAACGCTTGTAGGACTAACGGAGGCACTTCCCTTCCTTAATAAATGGGTAAATAACCACGGAGGCCTTGGAGGTTTCGTCACCTCAGGAGTGTTGCCAAAACATTTGCTTAATCATTTTTGTTCGTGTGTTTTTTGTTCACATTTTTTTTTCTTCTTCTTTCTTGCTGCCTCCTAGTGCTGCTGCGGCGGAGTTGCTCGAGGATACGATACCCCAATCTAAATTTTAAAAAAATATATATGAATATACAACTACAAACCAATCCGACGACTCAATTCATCGGCCCAATTCGATGACCCAATCCGATAGCCCAATTAGACGACCCAAACCGGCTATCCAATTCGACGACCCAATCCCACGACCCAATTCGACCATCTAATCCGACGACTCTTCATTTCGACCCAATTCCACGACCCAATCCGAATCGCATCGAATCGCACCCGGGGGGGGGAGTGGACTCTTAACCCTCTCCCATCCCGACCGACGGCGACTTGCCTCTCCGACCGTCTGTCTGTCCGTTCGCTCACTAAAAATGGCAACTTTCGCAAAACCCCGACAAACCCGAAACTGATAATCTCCCCGCACTTAACAGGCAGAAAATTTGGAACTCCCGAGCTAAAATAAGCGACGTTCATAAATGTAGAAAAAAAAAATAAAAAATAAAAAAAGAAGAAAAGGGTGCGTAGGGTGGGTCGAGGCAGGGGAGAAAGGGAGGAGGAGGAGGAGGAGAAGAGGGGGGGGGGAGGCAAAGGAAAAGCTATAAAAATAAAGTAAACACAAGAAGGCTGGACGCATGCCAGACCGTTGGCCCTTGACAGCAGCACGCGGCGTCGGCGGCGGTGGCGGCACACGGCTATGAGTTATAATAGTACGCGGATCTTGTACATCACCCACCTGACCCTCTCTGAAGCGGCGAAGGGGGGGGGGTGGGAGGGAGCGATCGCCTTATCTCAACCTCATGACACGTAGATTTGCTGATAGACAATCGACTTATGACGTGCGAGTGCTATGAGGCGTGACTCCCTGTGAAATGTAACGTGCAGTGGATTTGTCACCCGGATGTACCTGACTACACCTATTTACTACGGAATTTACAGTGGTATTGAGGTATATATTCGCTAGAGGAGAGGCTTAATGTGCGTATTAACGTTGAATATGTAAGGCACACAAACGCAAACGCACACAAATGCTTAAATACACATACACATACACGCGCGCACACACACACACACACGAAAAATTCATGGCGTACAAAACCCAAACTTCTTAGTCTTTCAGGGAAACAAAGTGATCCTCGAAATGAACCCCGAAAACTTCACATCCTTCTCTCTCTTTCTCTTTCTCTCTTCCCCTCTTTCTCCCTCTCCCTCTCCTTTTCCGTCTCTCTCTCTTTCCCTCTCCCTCTCGCTCTCTCTCTCTCTTTCCTTCTCCCTCTCCCTCTCTTTCTTTCCCTCTCCCTCTCTCTCTCTCTTTCCCTCTCCCTCTCTCTCTCTCCCTATCCCTCTCGCTCTCTCTCTCTTTCCTTCTCCCTCTCTCTTCCCCTCTCCTATCTCTCCCTCTCTCTCCCTTTCTCCCTCCCTCTCCCTCTCTCGTCTTACGTCACTTTCCAATGCAGCTTCGAGAATAAGCCATCAATTTCCCCGGCCTTGAGACAAAGCAGTACGTGACACTCGATGCCAGAAGGGAAGCGGATGATGGAAAATGCGATGGAAGGGAGGGGGGAGGGGGGAGGGGGGAGGAGGGAGGAGGGAGGGACTGTGAGGGAATGAGAGAGGGAGAGCGGGAGGGAGGAAAGGAAGGAGAGGGAAGGAGGGAAGGAAAGAAAGAGAGAGGGAGAGCGGGAGGGAAAAAAGGAAGGAGAGGGAAGGTGGGAAAAAAAAGAAAGAGAAAGAGAGAGAGAAAACGAGAAAGGCTGAGATAAATACAGAATGGGAGAATAAGAGGGGGAAGAGAAAGGAAGAAAGATAACGAAACAGACAGACAACGGACCGTGAAAGTTAAGTGGGCAAAATCTGTATCTGCCAGTGGATAAACGCTTGACAGACCGCTGTCACGGACACTAAAACATCAAACACACAGAGCCAACACGGGGAGAAAATAGAAAGACGGATTACGGCCAGCCTACTTTACGATCTCAAAATGGATTATTCTTTTCTATCTCACAAATCATGATTTTTCCGCGTCCATTCCGATCTAATCCTGAAACTGAAGGCTTCCAAATAGGTGGATAAGAAAAAATATATACAAGATTAAAAAAAACAAAATAAAATAATAAGTCTCCCCTTAAAAAGAGCTCCGAATTAATCCTTAGTAAACCGGTTCTCATCGTAAACATTTCTCCCTCTTCCGTTTTCTTTACACCAACCTGAAAATAAAGAAAACGAGAGGCGGTTGTACCGAATCGTAAACTGCAATATGGCCGCTTCTCAAAGGGAATTAATCTCGAAAAATCAACTAAAGTAAATCTCTTTTTCTATAAAAAGTAATCTTTATATGGCGTGGATATACAGTGGCAGTGACTGACGTATGTAAGTGCGCGCGTGTATGTGTGTTTGTTTCGTTGCTCGGTGATATATTAACTTTTCTCCTCTGCTGCACGTTTAGAAAAAAGAAAGTCTTTCTGGAGAGAGAAAAATACTTCTAATTACAAATTGCAAACACATCCGGGTTGGAATAATGAGAAGCTACGCAGATATTTTACATGAACTAATCAGTTATTTTTTGACAGTGGGTGAACCTGATTACCTGCCAAGTTTGCACAAAGTAGTTTCTCCTGGAGTATGTACTTGCCTGGTTTCTCCCCTCTCTTTCCCTCTCTAACTTTCTCGTTTTCTTTCTTTTTCTCCATTTTTCTCTCTTAATGTTGATATGTATGGGTGTGTGTGTGTGTGTGTGTGTGTGTGTGTGTGTGTGTGTGTGTGTGTGTGTGTGTGTGTGTGTGTGTGTGTGTGTGTGTGTGTGTGTGTGTTTGTGTGTGTGTGTTTGTGTGTGTATGTGTACTTATATTATATTATATTATATTATATTATATTATATTATATTATATTATATATATATATATATATATACACACACACATTCATAATGATATATATATCATTATGAAGGTGTGTTGGGGAGAAAAAAAATATAGACCCACAGAAAAACAGATATATACAAACAAAAGATCATTATATAAAAATGGAAACATAATAAATAATAAAAGATAGTTCGATATGAAATATGAGAGAGAAATAAACAAGGTGGAAAGGAAAGGGAAAAGGAAAATGAAAAACCAACCACACGAGCCACACGATCGGACGGCCCCGTGTTCGGCATACTCTCGACATCTCCATCCATCTCTCGTTTGGGGCCCTCCCCCCTCCTCCCCCTCTCCCTCCCCCTCCGTCTGTCCCTCTCCCTGCCTCTCCCTGCTTTCCACTCTCTCCCTCCCCCTCCGTCTATCCCTCTCCCTGCTTCTGCGTCTCCCTCCCCCTCCATCTGTCCCTCTCCCTGCTTTTTCACCATCCCTTCCCTTCCTTATTCTCCATCTCCCTCCCCCTCCGTCTGTCCCTCTCCCTGCCTCGCTCTCCCCCCTCCCCCCGTCTGCCCCTCTCTCTATCCTTCCTTCTTCTCCCTCCCCCTCCGTCTGCCCCTCTCCCTGATTCTCCCTCCTTCCCATTCTCCCTCTATCCGTCTCCTCCCTTTCTCTTTCCCTCTCTCCCCCATCCGTCTGACCTTTTCTCCTCCTCTATCTTTTTCTCCCTCTCTCCCTCCTTCCCAAAAATCCTTTCCCCCTATCCTTCCTTCTCATCCTTCCCTTCCCTCCCTCCCTCCTTCCCTTCCCCCCCCCCCCATCCTTCCTTCCACCTTAAAAAAAAAAAAAAAAAAAAAAAAAAAAAAAAAAAAAAAAAAAAAAAATCCGAGTTCCGCTTTGACGCCCTGCCATCCCGTGGGCTATTTTTAGCAGCCTTTTACTGTTTATACGGAGCTTGCTATTCTCGGCTGCCCCCATCGGCGATTGGCCACGCGCAGGACAAAACCCCTTTTCTTAAAACCTCTTGTGTTGCTAATGTCGAATGCAATGCAAGGGCACGCGGAGGCTGGCGCTGAATAGGATAATGATCCCTTTTAAATCTATTTTGCTTATCACCATCTTTCTATCTTTCGTTTTATCTTAGTTTTGTTTTGTTTTTTCTTTGTTAAATCTATGCTTGCTGTCTCGGTATTTCGATGTTCATTTAGTTTTATTTCAGTTTATTTATTTGCTATATTGTTTTTATCTTCCTTTTTTTTCATCTTCATTTTTTTCGATGTAGCTTCGTTTCTTAGCGCTATCTTCGTCCTCCGTTTCGAGTGCAGTTGCCATTTCTATTATGTATATTATTATTGTTGCTATTGTTATTGTAACGGGAGAGAGAGAGAGAGAGAGAGAGAGAGAGAGAGGAGAGAGAGAGAGAGAGAGAGAGAAGAGAGAGAGAGAGAGAGAGAAGAGAGAGAGAGAGAGAGAGA